GGGGCTGCTAGAAGGATTTGGGGTTATGGGGTGATATGGGGCTGCGGAGACCTGCAATGCAAGGCTTACGACTCCCTGCTGGCACTGCTGGGTCACTTATGGGGTGATGTGGGGCGATGTGGGGCGATACGGGGTGGTTATGGGGCTGGGGAGCTGCTATAGGGGTACGGGTGATGTAGGGACATGGGGGTTGTGGGGCGTTATGGGGTTATGGGAAGCTGTAGCGCAAGGCTTACGACTCCCTGCTGGCGCTGCGGGGTCACTTATGGGGTGAGGTGGGGTGGCTGTGGGGCGGTGATGGGGCTATGGGGTGGTGTGGGGTGGCTATGGGGCAGCTGTGGGGCTGTGGGTCACTTATGGGGCCGTGCTGTCAGTGGGGGCATTGGGGCCATAGAGGATGTGGGGCGGTGCAGGGGGTCTGGCTGCGTGTGGGGTGGTTATGGGGTGGTTATGGGGCGGTGATGGGGCACTGTGGGGCAGTGGGGTGGCTATGGAGTGGCTATGGGGTGCTCGGGGCAGTGTGGGGTAGTTATGGGGCAGCTATGGGTCAGTGTGGGGCAGTTATGGGGCTGTGGGACGGCTGTGGGGCAGCTATGGGATGATTGTGGGGCAGTTATGGGGCGGCTGTGGGGCAGTTGTGGGGCAGCTATGGGACGATTGTGGGGCTGTGTGGGGCAGTTATGGGGCAGTTGTGGGGCAGTTATGGGGCGGCTGTGGGGCAGTTGTGGGGCAGTTATGGGGCGGCTGTGGGGCAGTTATGGGGCGGCTGTGGGGCACCACCCGGCAGTTCTGGGGCACAGTGGGGCACAATCTGGCAGCTGTGGGCGGCTGTGGGTTGGCTATGGAGCACTATGTGGCAGCTGTGGGCCGCACCCCATGGGAGGGGTGGGGGTGGGGGAGGGGTGGGGGACCTTTGGCCCCGGGGGGGGGAGGGGGGGGAGCCGCGCCCCAACGGCGACAGCGGCCATAAAAGGGGGTGGGGCTGAAACTGAGGGTGGGGTGGGGTG